AGCAGTATTCAGTGTGAATTTTGTAAAGATTTACGTTCAAAATATGCAAAATGTGGATGCATGGGAATTCTTGTCATAAAAAGTATCTTAAACCTTAAATTCAAAAAATCTTTGAATTTATTACTTTGGTCTGATGTATTTCCGACATAAATAAACAATTTTTGATTATTTACATCCAGAAACATGCATAAAAGCTTGATTTAAATACACCTACCCTCAATTTTTCTTTCACTGACGGCCATTTTTTATCTCTAAATCACGTGACTTAGATGATCGATGTTGAAAAACAAACATCAAAATCATGAACAAGAATGATTAAGGTAATATAAAATCACATTTTAAAATGGTTTTATCGTAGGCCGGAAAATGGCCTTATAGAGAATGAACCTTTGCTATATTGACTTGATAAAGTTATTGACTGGCTAAAATTAATTTGAAGATTGATTTGATTGGTAGTAAAGTTTTGAGGGGGATCAAATGTAAGAGGGAAGGAGTGTGGTAGTTGTACATGTAAGTGTATTTTTGATCGGGATCGAGATTCAAATTACTTTGTTAATGAATAGTGAGTTCCCTTAAGATAAAGAATCAAAATAACATGTGTTCTGTCTTTTGGCGCACTGAATGGTGTTTCCCAGAAGATTACATATATATAATTTGCTTTATATACATGTGAAGCCAATAAAGAAAACAAAACAAAAAAACAAAATACACAACCAAGGTAATCCTTTTTTGTGGGGGGGGGGGCAAAATTCAGATATATCGGTGGAAAAGCTGGGCATAAATAAAGTGGACCCAAAAATCATTAATATTTCAAGCAAGATGTTAACTCAAGAGGAAAAAGAATTATAAGAACAGGGCTTAAAATTTGCACCAACGCCCAACCCCGGCAATCAAAACCAAGAAAAGGATGTACAGCTGTAGATGAATTCTTTAGAAAACTACGTTAAAGAGAAATTTTTAGACGGGTTAATAATAAATGACGATTGCATTGTGAGAAATAAAAAAGGAACCACAATACAAAAAGGACGTAACAATGATTTAATTGACTATATAGATGTTCTGAAATCCACAAATCGTCTTTTCTAAACAAACAAGAGGCCCAGGGGCCACAGCGCTCACCTGAGCACATCGGGATTGAATTTAATCCCCCCTCCAGGTGTTCATCATTTGAAAAAACTACAATCTACACTACCTGAGGATGATTCCATATAAATATCACTAATCATAGCTTTGAAGTACTTGAAAAAAAAAGGTTTTTAAAGGTTTCCTTATATATCCTTATGTAAAACTTGGGTCGGCCATTTTGGCCCCACCCTAGCCCCGGGGGTCATGATTTGAACAAACTTGAATCTACACTACCTGAGGATGATTCCACATGAGTTTCATCTTTCCTGGCCCAGTGATTTTTGAGAAGGATTTCTAAAGATATTTCCTTTATTTTCCTATGTAAAACTTGGGTCGGCCATTTTGGCCCCAAACTTGCCCTGTGGGTCATCATTTGAACAAACTTGAATCTACACTACCTGAAGATGATTCCACATGAGTTTCATATTTCCTGGCCCAGTGGTTCTGGAGAAGAAAGTTTTTAAAGATTTTTCCTATATATTTCTATGTAAAACTAGGGTCGGCCATTTTAGTCCCACCTTTGTCTCGGGGGTCATGATTTGAACAAACTTGAATCTACACTACCTGAGGATGATTCTATATGAGTTTCATCTTTCCTGGCCCAGTGGTTCTTGAGAAGAAGATTTTTAAAAGATTTTTCCAATATTTTCCTATGTAAAATTTTGGTCGGCCATTTTGGTCCCACCCTAGCCCCGGGGGTCATCATTTGAACAAACTTAAATCTACACTACCTGAGGATGATTCCACATGAGTTTCATCTTTCCTGGCCAAGTGATTCTTGAGAAGAAGATTATTAACGATTTATCCTATATATTCCCTTGTAAAAATTTGGGTCGGCCATTTTGGCCCCATCCTTGCCCTGGGGGTCATCATTTGAACAAACTTGAATCTACACTACCTGAGGATGATTCCACATGAGTTTCATCTTTCCTGGCCAAGCGGTTGTGGAGAAGAAGATTTTTAAAAAATGCCATTAATTTTTAACAAATTCATTATTATCTCCCGTTGGAAAAGGGCATGGCCCTTCATTTGAACAAACTTGAATCCCCGTTACCCAAGGATACTTTGTGCCAAGTTTGGTTGAAATTGGCCCAGTGGTTCTTGAGAAGAAGATGAAAATGTGAAAAGTTTACAACAACAACGACGACGACAACGACTACAACGACAGACAACGGACGGATTGTGATCAGAAAAGCTCACTTGAGCTTTGGCTCAGGTGAGCTAAAAAGCTGTGAAAAAAAAATTTGTACATAAAAAGATAAAAAACATTAAAAAGCTCCAGAGGAATTACGAAAAGAGACGGAAATTATTTTTAAAAATGCGGATAAAGGAGGAGCAATATTTTGTATGGACAAAACATTCTATAAATCCATAGTCCTTCAACAACTAAGTGCTGATGATGATTTCTACATGAAAATGCCTGAAAATCCTGATAAAACAATCATATGACATCTAGAACAATTATGCAAAAAACATCAATAATTATCAAAAAAAGATGAGCTTGACTATTTAACAAACTTTGAAATGAAAACAAACTACTTTTATGCACTACCTAAAATACATAAATGCAATAATATCAAGACAGCTATAGAGTAACAGAACGATACATACATTGTTACTACACAACCAACAGATCTGAAACTGCGAAGCTTTTGTGTCTGGCCCTTTGTGTTCACACATAGACTGAATAATTCTATAGATATTCTCCTGAAAGATCTGTGTGAAAATGTCCCGAGCTACATACAAGATAGCAAGGGTTTTTTTAACAAAATTCCCGAAAAAGTGGAGCGTTGATGCACAGGTCATATCTGCACGACAGGGACTGGACAGGGAGATCAGAGAATATCAGGGAACGACAGGGAGTATACAGGGTAGGCAGAGACATCGACAGGGGACGACAGAGACTGGACAGGGAATGCAGGGACAACGACATTGGATCAAAGGAGAATGTCAGGGAGAGAAAGGAAAATGCCAGGAACTGACAGGGGGACAACAGGGGATTTATTTAGAATCTAATGGGATATTTAATTCAGTAGTGCTAACAAGTGAGGAGATAGCAATTTTTGAACGTGGGTTAAAATTTACGCCGACCCCTAAAAAAGATGACGTTGACCTTAAAAATGACATGGAGGAATTTTGCCGAAAACTGCGTTTGAGAGAATTTTTTTTTTCAAAATGAAACGGAAAACGACGAATCTTTAGTTAGAAAAAAAGGTTTTAAACCGCTACCAAATAGAAATAAACAACTTGAAGATTACATAATGCGTCTGAAAAAATTCAGCGGATACTCATTTAGTGGAAAACAATGTGAAATCAAACATTTCAAGAAAGAAACAAAATGCTTTAAAAGATTTTAGTGAAGATTCGTCCATCATTATTAAAGAAGCGGACAAAGGAGGTGCAATAGTTATAATAGATAGAGACCATTAATATTACAAGGAAATGGAAATAAGTCAACTTCAAGATGATCAATTTTTTAAAAAAACTTGACCAAAATGGAGACCGCCAAACAATGCGTAGAATTGAACGGTTTACGAAAAAAATTGCTGTTGAGTTTACTAAAAATGAAATAGATTATCTAACAAATTTTGAAGTTAAAACCAGCAATTTCTACGGTCTACCAAAAATTCACAAATCGAAGGAAATCCAGGAAAATATTAAAAAAATTGAAAATACATATATAAAAATTCCAAAATCCTCGATTTTAAAACTCCAATCCATAATTTCAGGACCATCCTAATTTACACAAAGATTGATCAATCTACTTGATTTGATTCACAAACCATTGTGCAAAAAAGGACAGTTTCATCCGTGATGATTTAGATTTCCTTAATTACATTCCAGAGGAAGTACAACATAACACGCTTCTTGTAAGTTTAGATGTTAATAGTCTTTACACCAACATCCCACGTTACTTGGGACTTGAAGCTGTGAAATTTTGGATGGAGAAATATCTGACAGAAACAAATGAAAGATTCTCTAAAGAATTTATTCTTGAAGCCCTTCAAGTAGTTTTAGAAAATAACTATTTTCATTTTGATGAGCAATTTATCCTTCAAATCAAGGGCACAACTATGGGTTCCAAAGTGGTTCCAACTTATGCCACCCTAGTTTTGGGTTACTTGGAAGAAAAACTATATGATAAACTATATGATAAACTTCCGGAAATTTGTGACGAAACTTTTGTACAATACATTCGCCAAAACTGAAAAAGGTACCTTGATGATATTTTTATTTTTTTGAATAAAACTAAAGACGATTTAAAAAAAATTACATACGGTAACTAATCAATTACAGGAATCAATTCAGTTCACTATGGAGATATGGAGATGAGTGACAGACAAAATTATTACATGTACTGCATAGAAACAGATATAGAAACACCAATATTTGGATTTCTATTCATGTCCCCCATCACATGCTAAGCGTAATATTCCATACAACATGGCAAGACGCATATGCACAATAGTAACCGATACAACTTTACGCTTAAAAAGGTTAGATGAATTTAAATCATATCCCCAAAAACATTATCCGGAGAATCTTTTATCATTCCTACTACTATACTAAGAAACACTCTCCGCAAAGATGATAGTGAAAAAGCGACATCTCTTTTATTGTGACGCACAATCCACGCAACCACAATATTTTAACGAGGTCCGATCTAGTTGAAAATTACGAAAACGGAATGTTAAAAAAATTAATTCTTGGAAATATACTTGTATGTTTTATGCTTAGAAAAATTAGAATATAATATTTTGTTACGTGAAACAATATGTCAAAATTGTGTCTTTTAGTATTATGATTTTATTTTATTATTATGTTACTTTTATATTAAGCGAAGTTTAAAATGATATGTAAGAAAACTATCTTACCGTGATTGATGCTCCGAAACAATGATTAAAACAGATTTCTCTGAGAATCGCTGTGCTTTAAATACCTTGCAGTACGGTAATTTGATAATGGAAGTGGATTTATACTGAAGGCGCTTATGCTACAGTTTAAGTCATGCAATGTGGGTTCGTAACTTGTATGAAATACGCCGTGCTGTTAACAAGTTGGTGTCTTAAAGTATTCAGTATAGAATGCCATCACTGCCTTATTGCTTGCAACTAGGCATTTATGTCAATTTATCAGTACATGATTTGAACATAACTTTACTTTTTATGAGAGGATGAAAGAATATATGAGCATCATGTCAATACTGCATAACATGAAGTAAATACATCCTTTCATCATGTCAGCACTTCATTACTTGAAGTAAAAAGTTCATTATGTGAAGAAAAACTGTCTTTACATTGTGTTTTAAGGTAATTCCACCCTCACAATTCTAATGGTTCAGAGTACAAAAACTACATTTATTTTCATTTAATATTCTTTAAATTTTCCAATTATTACAGAATATATGTTGGTCACCATATCATTAAGGATAAGAGACAAAAATGAGCAAAGTGTATGTCAACAAAAAATCGCAAATTTTTTTGTAAACAGTATCATGAAAAATATGTAAAAACTGGTTAAATGTATAATTATGCTGCTGAATGTTCCTAAATATTTCCTACTTATAAAATGCTTTTGAATTGTGAATATCAAGAAAAATTTTATATAAGAAGTACAAAAATCAAATGCCTGAATGAAGAGACCTGAGAAGGAGTTATTGCATTTTTTAAAGATTAAATAATTAAAAAAAATTAAAGAAAATTTAGTTAATAATATTTATCAGTACACCTACTGAAGGCATTCTGATATTATTCTATCAGGTAGGAATTTTAACTAATACCAGTCTTTGTAAAAACCTGTGACATTATAGGAGGTGGAAATATCTTAATACTTTATTACGTGAAATTAATGTTTCTTTACATCATTTTATTTTTTAGTAGGTGGGGTCAAAATTGCATTACGTCATGTAAATTTTATCTTACACGTGTTCTATAATTAAACTATGTATTACGTGAAGTCAAAATTCTATTCTTTTTTGTTAAATTATATTTCTATTATATCAAAGCATTATTGCGTGATATGAATGTATTTTTATTTTACACCGAGAGCATCATGATGTGAGGTGAAAAAATCTTACCTTTATGTCAGTGTTTATTACCTGGTGTAAAAAAAAATATTACATAAAGTGAACATATCTTTATCTTAAATAAACACTTTATTACATTATGTAAAAACTCCCTTCCGTGATGTGGATATATAATTACGTTATGTCATCTCTTTCTTATGTGATTTAAAATATCTTTATATTCTGTTAACGCTTTATCATGTTCATTCCAAATGTTCATTACGTGATGATGTAAAAATACATTTACATATTGTATATCTAGTATTTAATAAAGGTTGATGTTTTAACAACTGGGAGGGGAGATACTGATTGATTAGGAAGAATTAAAGGCACATAGTATCAGTTTACCTCTTTTCCCCGACATAACTTTACTATTGAAAATGTAATTTTCATTAAAAGTCCAGCCCACCCTTACTTTTTGTTGAAGTATGGTCCACTAAGGGAAATGGTTTTTTTTCTGGCTGAGCCCCCCCCTCCCCCCCCCCCCGGTTCAAAAACGATGCTAAGTCACCGGAATAAGTCTTTTTTTCCAACCATTCCAGGGCAAGAATTGTATTACAAAAATCTAACAGTCCCTTATCTAAATCAATTGACCAGGCCTTAGTAAGAATGCATGAGCACATATCAGTGGAGGATATTAGAATCTTGAACAAGGAAAGGGGACGGTATGGTTTGAGACCAATGGATTACTGCCTGGAAGCTCTCAGACTTCAGGTGTTTTATAGGATTTTTTTATAACTTAAATCAGCTAAACGTAATGTGAAACTAATGTATGTCTTACAAAGAAAATCCAAGTTATCAATTTATGTATATTTTGGTCACTTAATATAGAAGGGCGGGATTTCTCTAACCTCCCCCCTCAGCAACCAATGCAAGTGTGTTATACATTGTGCTTAAACTTAAACAAAAAAGAAAAATTAAAGATGATAAAAAGCTAAGGACAATGTTTGAGTAAGATCAGAAGTTTCAGACATTTATTAACACACAATTCAAAATCAAAAAAAAAAAAAAAAAAAAAAAAAAAAGGCTGCATGACTCATTGTCTTTGCTTTCCGATAATTATTAGATTAACGCCATTGAATTTCGACGTGACTTTAATTCACAGACTATTAAGGCTTTGCACGTTTCAAGATTGTCAATGTTTTCATTTAAAGATGCTACTCTCAAATCGCTGAGAATTTCTTCGACGACAGTTTTCTCTCCCGCCATTTTAGTGCTTGCGGAATGCGGAAAATACGTTATGCTCATATTAAGGCCGAGGATACCCGTGTTCGCATAACGTAATAGTAATACTAGTCGATATAATGTAGAAGTGTGCGCACAGTATGACATAAGCTTTTCACAACAGTAAAAAAAAATTAAGATGGTATTTTAGCATGTGAAGATAATTTTATGTCATAAGCAAAAAGGATTGGCATGACATATAAGATATATAATTATATCACGTTCTAAAATATTGACGTAGCTATGTATTATTATGCCATCACATAAATGCACTACTAACTTCAATAAAAAGAGCATCTGTATTATTTTATGTATGAATACATCTTCCGAATGTTATACAATGTTGATATTATATTTATAATATATTTACATCATGAAAATTGGTGTTGAAATAATGGTACATAATGTAATTAAAAACTTTAATATGATTACCTAAACTATATATAATTATATAATTGCTTTTTGGATTCATGAAATAGATATTTGACGAAATGTAAAGAGCATTTACTTTATGTATGAACTTTCGATATCATGTATTGAATAGTTACATAATGTAGCTATAGTTTTGTACGATCGGGCAGTGATGACATTCAATTATAGTAGACTTAACACCATGGATGAGATGACATTAATAAAAAAACCTTTTCACATAAAGTTGTGTCCTTTTGATTTGAGGTACGTAAGATTAGTCTTTATACATGTATGTTGCACATCTTTACATCATATAATGCTCAATCAATCTAACGTAATACTGAGTTAACAAATTATGATTATCTTTACATCATGTAAAAATATTTTGACTAACTCTCAATAATAATTGACGCAATTTAACAGAATACTGGCGCAATGCAATTTGTAATGAACCTAACGTAATGATGAGTAGAAATGATATAACTATATTTTTATACAATGTAAAGGGCTTTGAACTGAAATGTCATGATGAGATGACATTATTTATGTAATGTAAAGTTAATGTAATTGTAATTATGATGTGGAAGGTTGACACGATTCAATAGAAGTGTGAGTAAATGTCATAAAGAATTAAATTTAATGTTACGTAAGGTTGACACAATGTAATTGAGGTGTATTTGAATGTCTTGAAAAGTAAACATAACGAAATGCGAAGTTGACAAAAAATAATTGTAGAATGTGTAAATGTCATAAAGAGTTGACATAATGTAATGGAAAATTGACACGATGCAAGAGTAGTGTGGGTTAAAGTCATTAAGAGTTAACCTAATGTAAAGGAAAGTTGACGCAATGCAATAGTAGTGTGAGTAAATGTCATACAAAAGTTGATTTAATGTAATACAGGGTAGACACAATGCAATGGTAGTTTTAGTTTATGACATAAAGAGTTGACATAATGTAATGAAAAATTGACACAGTGCAATAGTATTGTGAGTAAATGTCAAAAAGAGTTGACTTTAGGTAATTGAAGGTTGACGCAACGCAATTGTTGTGTTCTGCTATAAGGCAGTGACGGCGTCAATTTAGTTAAATTAGTTTAATTAATTTAATTCAAAACTTATCAGAAAATAATAATTTAATGCATCTATGATCAAATTTGTTTTCTGTATCTTTAAAGATACGCCACGGTACATTTACTCATCAACGTAATTCACTCAACCTGCTTTATAAAACATTATGGCGAAAATCCGACTAAAAATCGGTACCGGCGTTTCAAAGATAAACATTGTTGAACGTCTACAGATGCACCTGTAAAAACGATCGATTATCCTTGACAATGTCACTTCCGGTTTAAATGCAATCAAGTTCAATGACGTCACAAGTGCTTCTCGCTTCCCTCTAGTGATAGGTGAATAATGACAGAAAGCGCTGTTTCAGATAATTCTCATAGTCCATTAGAGGAAGAATCGTTGGTACTTTCTTGTGGATCGTAAAGTTTTGGTGGGGATTCGTTGCTGTGTTTTGAGCCCTAGCAAGTGAACCATCAGACGTAGAAAACCCGACCACAAACGATGCTGGACCCGAGGAAGCATATAGTTTGCAAACTATCGATTGATATGTGAGTAAAACGATATTCACAAGAATCATTTTACATCATTACTAAAAAAATATATTAAATAAAAACATAATTCTACCTATTTATACTCCATCCTAAAACTTTTACACGGTCTAAACAGCTGATAACATGAATAACGTTAGTCCCTACTGATTTAAATTTTGCGTTCATTTTTTTTTATTTGTTGTGGGAGCCCACTCTTTTTCTACATATCCTAATGCATGACTATGTTTTAAATTTCAAAGCATTTCGTCAAAAATCAAAGGAGATATAGCCATTTAGAGTTTCAGCCAATCAGATTGCAGCACACGTTCATGCGCGTGATTTCTTGATTGTTTTAGATATCATATTGCAGGATATCCTAATGCATGACTATGTTTTAAATTTCAAAGCATTTCATAAAAAAATAAAGCACATATAGCCAGTAAAATATTCAGCCAATCAGATTGCAGCGCACGTGCATGCACGTGATTTCATGAAAATTTTTCCATATCATGTTGTAGGATATCCTAATTCTTGACAATGTTAAAAATTTCAAAGCATTTCGTTGGAAAACAAAAGAGATATTGAGATTTTTGTTTCAGCCAATCAGAGCAAAGCGCACGTGCATGCGCGTGAGT